TCCGCTCTATTGTATGGCCGGAGTCAGTAGTATACTCTGTTCTAGTTATTATCTCCTCCAGTTTTCCATAACGAAGTAGTTGGAATTTGTCCTCATTGAACATCATATCGTTTACCGTTGCCCACTGGAAAACTTTGTTTATATCTTCTTGGAGGTTAACCGCGTCCTCAGCAGATGACAGCCTCATGCAGATCCTAGTATCATCCGCAAAGGATGATACGGTGCTGTGGTGTATATCTCTGTTTATGTCTGATATGAGGATAAGGAATAAGATGGGGGCGAGTACTGTGCCTTGTGGAACAGAGCTCTTCACTATGGCAGCCTCCGATTTAACTCTGTTGACCACTACTCTTTGTGTTCGATTTGTTAGGAAGTTGAAGATCCATCTCCCCACTTTCCCAGTTATTCCTTTAGCACGTATTTTATGTGATATTATGCTCTGATCACACTTGTCAAATGCTTTTGCACAGTCTGTGTATATTACATCTGCATTCTGTTTTTCTTCCAGTGCATCCAAGACCATAGTGATCCAGTAGTTGTGAGAGGCAGGAGCGACCTGCCCTGAACCCATGTTGCCCTGGATTGTGCAGATTTTGGGAATCCAAGTGGCTTGCAATCGTGCTTCTTAGCACTCTTTCAAAGATTTTTATGTGGGACGTTAAAGCTTTTGATCTATAGTTCTTAGGTAATGCTTTGCTGCCACCTTTATGGAGTGGGGCTATATCCGTTGTTTTTAGTGACTATGGAATTTCACCCATGTCTAAGGTCCTTTTCCATAGTATACTTAGGGCACGCAAAAGGTGTTTCTGTATTTCTTAATAAGCACAGAGTTCCACGAGTCTGGGCCTGAGGCTGTGTGCATAGGCATGTTATCAATGACTTTCTCAAAGTCTATACGAGTTACGGTAATGTCGGAAATCTGGCATACACTGATGGAGTTTTGAGGCTCATTCATGAAGTAATCACTTGGATTGTCGATCTTTACACTGATTAGTGGCTCCCTGAACACAGTCGTATCTGGATTTCAGTATCTCATTCATTCTTTTGTTGTCATCTGTGTAAGTCCCATCCTGTCTGAGTAAGGGCCCCATACTAGAAGTGGTATTTGCCTCGTTTTTGGCATATGAAAAGAAATATTTCGAATTTCCTTCAATTTCACTAATCGCTTTTAGCTCCTCCTGTTTCTTCTGGGTCCTCTACGAGTCCTTTAACTTAAGTTCGATATTTTCCACTTCCCTGGTCAGCGCTTCCTTCCATGTATCAGATAATCTAGCGTTCCTGAGGAGCTCAGTGATTCTTCGTCTTCTGTAGAGGGAGCGCCTCCAGTTTACTCCTACTCTTCTTTCTTAAGGGAATATGCCTAGAACATGCGTCAGCTGCCAGGAAGTTGATCTTTCAACTCACTGGTTTGGATTCATGTTATTTAAGATATCTTTCCAACATGTTCCACCTGATCCCAGTTGATGTTCATGTTGCTGAAGTTGTATTTGGTGAAGACACCTTCACAGCTACGTGCATTTTGCTGATCAGGATCCCTGTAGTGTAGTAATTTAATGTGTTGGTAACAAGCTTGCAGAAACTCAGATATACTGTACATACAAAGGAAGTTTGAATTAGTGAACATCTATTGCTTATTAGATTGTGATTGGAATCATTTTTTTATATTGCCGTTTCTTACCAGTTCCTCATTATTTGTGAAGATAAGGTCCAGTCTTGTTGGCTCCACTATCTGCTGACTCGCCTGGAATATACCTGGAGAGGGTTTCGGGGGTCAATGCCCCCGAGGCCCGGTCTGTGACCAGGCCTCAATAAATTAACCTTCCTGTGCTGGGAATCGAACCCGGGCCTCGAGGGTGAGAGCCACATATCCTTAGGGTGTGTTTAAGAGATTTAGTAGCTCGTGTGTGTGATCTTTCATCTGCACTGTTTCCAGGGATTGTTTCTATAACATTATTTGCTACATTCTTCCATTATGTATGCCTTAGGTTGAAATCGCCCAGCAGTAAGATGTTTGGTGATGGAGCTGGAAGGCTTTAAAGACAGTAATCAATTTTCAGTAGTTGTTCCTTGAACTGCTGGGAGGCTGCATCTGATGGCTTATATACAACCACAATGACTAGGTTTTGGTTCTCGATCTTTATTGTTAGACCTTCAACTATATCATTTGTGATGTTCAGTATCTCTATACATAAGAGCGACTATTTGACATACAGGCCAACTCCCCCTTGTTGCCTGTTCTTTCTGTCACATCTAAAAAAGTTGTACCCATTTATCCACATTTTGCTGTCAAAGTGATCTTTTGTGTGAGTCTCTGTGAAGGCTGCAAACATTGCATTAGACTCCTCTAGAAGTCCACTGATAAAAGGTATTTTGTTAGTGGATGGCTTAAGGCCCTGTATATTAGCAAATATGAACGAGGTTGTATTCTGTGTTTGTTGGTGGAATATTGTTATTGGCATCAGTAGTTGTGGTTCTGGAGGGCCATGTGGGGGGGGGGGCATTGGCCGTGCCTCCGGTCTAACAAGGCTCCAAGGTGGAAAACTATGTTATTTCCTTACATTTATTTCGTGTCCCTGCCCTGAACGGAGCCGTCAACACTGAACAGTACTCGAAGCCAGAGCACAAATTGTCTGAATAGTGTCTCGCCAATGGCGTTCCTCCCTGACTCCACACGTTCCTCCCCGCCCCTACACGCTCTTTCCCACACAATCTTAATAACAGATAGGACCCACTAGGATGAAGGAGGTGTGAGGTGCTCCCACATCATGTGTGGACTGCTCCCATACCATGATATGTTGGCTGCTCCCTTTGCATGATGTGTGAGTTGCTCCCATACCACGTGTGGGCTGTGATGTGTGGGGCTGCCTCCTGACCCCAATTGTACCTCATCTGCCTATTTGCATGCTGCCCTCCCTAGCATCCTATCCCTTCCTCTCCCATCCTCTTTTCACGCTATCACTTCCCCTCCCACTCCCTCTACATCCTATTTCATCCCCTCCCATCCCCGCTACGCCACATTTCTCCTTGTTTCATCTCTACTAAAGGCACAACTTTCTCGTTTTTTCCTTTTGCTTCTTGTAATCTCACCTCATAAATCTCTACATTGGGCGAAACGTTGTGTTGTCTCTCATTACCACGACTATCATAATGTAAATAGAAGACATTACCTACACGTTGATGAATAAGACACATGTACAATACTTAAGTTATCTTTGTTGGCGAAATGTTCCGTTAAGAAAGATGACCCAGTGTTGCACATGTCTCTCTCATCAATACTATCATCAGCTCATTGCAAGGACATCCTACAACACCCTACACATAATGCAAGACCCCCCCCCCCATACGCCACCAACAACCACCCTTCCCAAGTTGACGATCCTTTCATGGAATACTTGCTGATACCCTTAAGGTTCTACTGAAGTCTCGCCTCTCAGGCTGACAGACTTCAACACTATATGACCCATACTATGTAATGGAATACGACACTGCTGGTGTTCCCACAATGTAACTATCACATAGAATAGTCCAGCAACACACTGCTGGTGTTCCCACAATGTAACTATCACATAGAATAGTCCAGCAACACACTGCTGGTGTTCCCACAATGTAACTATCACATAGAATAGCCCAGCAACACACTGCTGGTGTTCCCACAATGTAACTATCACATAGAATAGTCCAGCAACACACTGCTGGTGTTCCCACAATGTAACTATCACATAGAATGGCCCAGCAACACACTGCTGGTGTTCCCACAATGTAACTATCACATAGAATGGCCCAGCAACACACTGCTGGTGTTCCCACAATGTAACTATCACATAGAATAGCCCAGCAACACACTGCTGGTGTTCCCACAATGTAACTATCACATAGAATAGTCCAGCAACACACTGCTGGTGTTCCCACAATGTAACTATCACATAGAATAGTCCAGCAACACACTGCTGGTGTTCCCACAATGTAACTATCACATAGAATAGTCCAGCAACACACTGCTGGTGTTCCCACAATGTAACTATCACATAGAATAGTCCAGCAACACATTTCTGGTGTTCCCACAATGTAACTATCACATAGAATGGCCCAGCAACACACTGCTGGTGTTCCCACAATGTAACTATCACATAGAATGGCCCAGCAACACACTGCTGGTGTTCCCACAATGTAACTATCACATAGAATGGCCCAGCAACACACTGCTGGTGTTCCCACAATGTAACTATCACATAGAATAGTCCAGCAACACACTGCTGGTGTTCCCACAATGTAACTATCACATAGAATAGCCCAGCAACACACTGCTGGTGTTCCCACAATGTAACTATCACATAGAATGGCCCAGCAACACACTGCTGGTGTTCCCACAATGTAACTATCACATAGAATAGCCCAGCAACACACTGCTGGTGTTCCCACAATGTAACTATCATAAAGAATAGCCCAGCAACACACTATTAGTGTTCCTACTATATAACTATATAGAATAATGTAGCAACACACTGCTAATGCATCTCGGTTTTTCTAAATAACAAGACAAGACATGCACTCCAGGATGGCCCTCCCAGCAGCAGGATAAACACACTAAGAGAGCTTTGAGGTGGTACTGAGTAAAACAAGTGGCACTTCTGACCCTCTGCCAGACACTGGAAACGCACGTAAGACGATACCGGGTACAAAAACACTTCAGAAAAACGGGAAATGTAAGAGTGAGACAAGTGGATATGTTAAAGTATTTCCAACCTAGAATAAGCCGAACGATTTATTAAGCTGGAGGAAGCTGAAGTATTAAGCTGGAGTAAGTTTAGTTTTTTTTACTAAGCTTAGAGGAATACTGACTAGATTTCAAATAGTGAAAGACAGAGAAGCCAATACACACACACACACACACACACACACACACACACACACACACACACACACACACACACACACACACGGCCCCATATGAACAAAACAAGGAGATGAGCAAGTTAAGGAGACAGGATGTAGTCACTTACTGTGAGGTGTTGGAAGAGCCAGGCTCGGAGGATGTTCGTCGCCACTTTAGGGAAGATGCCTCGCTTCTTCTGGTTCTTCTTGGAACCATCATCGTCTTCTTCGGTTCCTTCTCCAGACCCGATACTGGCGTTGCTCGCGTCACCTGTCAACCAACACACACTTTAGATTCCTCATTATTATTCACAAACAACCGAACATGGAGAGAAAATTCTGACGATGTTTTGCTCCGACTTTGACCATTTACAAGTCACAGTGTGACTTATAAATGGTCTAAGTCTGACCGAAACGTCGTCTCCAGGTAAACAAGTTTCTCTCTCCCATATGCGGGTTATTTGTGCATAGTTTCAGTCACGATATTGTTCGTTTTTGTTCTAATTATCATTATTATTATTAGTAGTAGTAGTAGTAGTATTTAGAACACACCCGCCATTCCCACCGAGGTAGAGCGACCCCCCACAAAAAAAAGAATCACTTTCACCATCATTCAATAACCGTCTTGCCAGAATTGTGGACACATCACAGATCAAATAACCATCCCGACTGTGACATCCCAACCCGTCCTTCAAAGTACAAGCACTTTATTAGTAGTAGTAGTAGTAGTAATAGTAGCAGTAGTAATAGTAGTAGTAATAGTAGTAGCAATAGTAATAGTAGTAATAGTAGTAGTAGTAGTAATAGTAGTAGTAGTAATAGTAGTAGTAGTAGTAGTAGTAGTAGTAATAATAGTAATAGTAGTAGTAGTAATAGTAGTAATAGTAGTAGTAATAGTAGTAGTAATAGTAGTAGTAATAGTAATAGTAGTAGTAGTAATAGTAGTAGTAGTAGTAGTAGTAGTAGTAGCAGTAGTAATAATAGTAATAGTAGTAGTAGTAATAGTAGTAATAGTAGTAGTAATAGTAGTAGTAATAGTAGTAGTAATAGTAATAGTAGTAGTAGTAATAGTAGTAGTAGTAGTAGTAGTAGCAGTAGTAATAATAGTAATAGTACTAGTATTAATAGTAGTAGTAGTAATAGAAGTGTAGTAATAGTAGTAGTAATAATAATAATAATAGTAGTAGTAGTAGTAGTAGTAGTAGTAGTAGTAGTAGTAGTAGTAGTAGTAGTAGTAGTAGTAGTAGTAGTAGTAGTAGCAGCAGCAGCAGCAGCAGTATTATCATTACCATTATTATTATTATTATTATTATTATTATTATATTCTGGGGAAGGTGGTAAATTAATAGGGGGTCATACAGAGCCTGGGAAATATGAGGTGATTAGATTTAATCCAGGGAAAAGAAACATAGCCCCAGTTCCTTGCATCTGGAGCTCTTCACTGTCATCTTGAAGGAGGTCCTGGTTACAGGCATTAAAGCGGAGGGGGGGGGGTAGCTAAAATAGGAGGCGGTTCCTACCTGCAGAGAATATAACTAACAAGAAGTGTATCATGGCCAAGGAACCGAGGGGAGGGGGGAGGAGGGAGGAAAGGAGAAGTGAAGGAAAGGTGGGAGGGTAGGAAGAGGTGAAGGAAGAAAGGAGGGAGGGTAGGAAGAACGAAGAAGGTTTTAACATTTACAGTAAACTAAGGCCAATAGGTTACTCAGTCGCTCTATACAATATAATATTCTACACACACATACACACACACACACACACACACACACACACACACACACACACACACACACACACACACACACACACACACACACACACACACACACACACACAACTCGATAAAATACGATACACATTCACACATGGCTAAAGAGGGGATAGACAAGAGGGAGACGAAAAGCAGGAGAAAGGGTATCGAGGGATGGCAGGAGAAAGGGTATCGAGGGATGGCAGGAGAAAGGGTATCGAGGGATGGCAGGAGAAAGGGTATCGAGGGATGGCAGGAGAAAGGGTATCGAGGGATGGCAGGAGAAAGGGTATACGAGGGATGGCAGGGGAAGGGTATCGAGGGATGGCAGGAGAAAGGGTATCGAGGGATGGCAGGAGGAAGGGTATCGAGGGATGGCAGGAGGAAGGGTATCGAGGGATGGCAGGAGGAAGGGTATCGAGGGATGGCAGGAGAAAGGGTATCGAGGGATGGCAGGAGAAAGGGTATCGAGGGATGGCAGGAGGAAGGGTATCGAGAGATGGCAGGAGAGATGGCAGGAGAGATGGCAGGAGGGATGGCAGGAGGAAGGGTATCGAGGGATGGCAGGAGGAAGGGTATCGAGGGATGGCAGGAGAAAGGGTATCGAGGGATGGCAGGAGAAAGGGTATCGAGGGATGGCAGGAGGAAGGGTATCGAGGAATGGCAGGAGGAAGGGTATCGAGGAATGGCAGGAGGAAGGGTATCGAGGAATGGCAGGAGGAAGGGTATCGAGGAATGGCAGGAGGAAGGGTATCGAGGAATGGCAGGAGGAAGGGTATCGAGGGATGGCAGGAGGAAGGGTATCGAGGAATGGCAGGAGGAAGGGTATCGAAGGATGGCAGGAGGAAGGGTATCGAGGAATGGCAGGAGGAAGGGTATCGAGGAATGGCAGGAGAAAGGGTATCGAGGGATGGCAAGAGGAAGAGTATCGAGGAATGGCAGGAGGAAGGGTATCGAGGGATGGCAAGAGGAAGAGTATCGAGGAATGGCAGGAGGAAGGGTATCGAGGGATGGCAGGAGGAAGGGTATCGAGAGATGGCAGGAGGAATGGTATCGAGGAATGGCAGGAGGAAGGGTATCGAGGAATGGCAGGAGGAAGGGTATCGAGGAATGGCAGGAGGAAGGGTATCGAGGGATGGCAGGAGGAAGGGTATCGAGGAATGACAGGAGGAAGGGTATCGAGGAATGACAGGAGGAAGGGTATCGAGGAATGGCAGGAGGAAGAGTATCGAGAGATGGCAGGAGGGATGGCAGGAGGGAAGGCAGGAGGGATGGCAGGAGGGAAGGCAGGAAGGAGAGTATGGAGGGAAGGAAGGAGGGAGAGATTACAGCACTTGTGAGACTTCTCGCTTATCACTAATATTAAAATATTCTAACTAAAAATATATTATTTTACAGTCAGAATGTTAAATCTTTTTGATTTTACTGTACACTGTCACATTTTTTTTGAAATACGTAAACCAAAAAATAAGAAAAATGTGCCCAAATGTTATTTTATCTATTGCAATCAGCCACCACGCCCACTTAACCCAACTACCAACTTCTCCCAAGTTGCAAGTTAACTAGAAAGAAATCTTTCCGGCTTTTTTACTGGCCTTAGGCCGAAGAGGGGATAGAAGAGCCCTCGAAACAGGCCATAAAGTACAGGTCACAGATAGGGCTTTATTTCCACACTCTTATAAGAAGACAACAGCACCTCCCTGGGTGGCTGGTCTCTGAGGTTACCAAAACATCTTGTGACTCCTTTCCAGTTTTATTCACTGAGTCTGATTTCAGGCTAGGCTTCATTAGTGTTCCCCTGATTATCCAGGTTGTTGGTGCCAGCATACATAAAACCTGGCTTACTGAGCATACTGTGGAACACACACTTTAAGTTACCTCTTGAAGACTTGTTTCTAACACTCCATCTTATACAACTGTGATACGTGTCACATATATATACTCCACTCACACTACATTTATTTTATGGTATGTGTATGCACTTGGTAGCAGATTGGTGAACATCAACCTCCCAGGGAGATATTCCGTCCTCCTCTCTAATGAGTGTGAAACGGAACTCTGGTAAACGTTTGTCACTCTGGCAGAACTGCAGGTCTTGTCTGTGTCATGAATACGTCGATTGCTAGTCTTTTCTGGTCCCTTAGCCTTGACGAAGTAGTTACGAGGTAGTCAGTCCCTTAGCCTTCATAAATGTTCAGTTCTACAGTCTTGAGTAGGTGCGAAGCAGTCTGTCTTGCGTCTCAGCATGACAAAGAAGTTTTTAAACTTGACCTGGCGAACTGACAAAGAGGTAACACGGGAATAATTACCAGAGAGACTGAGATACACTGCGTAACACGACGTATTTAAGAAGAATAAGCCGAGTTAAATATTAAAGCCATCAGGAGAGACGACAGCCGCTAAGGAAGAGACAGATGGACCGCAAGAAATTATAGCCTAGAATGGCCACAAGAATGACGCATTGTTGGTCTCGTGTTGGGAGCCACCAGGACTGCCCTCGGCTGCTGGTGGTCACGCTACGCCTGCTCATCGTCTGCTTTGCAGACACCGGGGACTATGAAATATCTTAGCCACGAGGGAATCCCAGGAAAATGTTGAAAATAAATTGGCATTCACTTAAACGATTCCTTCTTAACAGGCACCTTCGCAGCTCGAGAAAAACGCTACTTTGGCTTTGCAAATGAACGGTCATAAGTAAATTTGCATGGTGTGCAAGGCTAATACAATGATGACTAGGAAGTGGTGACGGAAAATGACAGGTTTCGCGGGCTGACTGATGGCGCCGAAGAGTTAATGGCGGGAAGCATTGTGATTGGTCGTCTGGGGACCGCAACAGTCGCTGATTGGTGGAAATTGCGCCAGGACGGGTGACAAATGTCCGCAGATTTACCAAGTGGTCTCCACACTGTGATTAACTCAATAAACAACATACCTCTTAATGATGATGATAATTTCCAGTTGTGGGGTTGGGTAAGACTACACGAGACTAAATTGTCGTAGCAGCGGCTCAGGGTGGCAGAGAGACGCTACCTAATCCGGTGTCTCTCATAGCGTGAGAGAAGATACACATAGCCACAACGGTGCTACCTGCCACCCGCCATCATTCATCAAAGGTGCCACGTTCACATCGTCCCATGACTGCTGGCGTGATGCTTCAGTTGCTGCTGTTACTGCTAATGTTGGTGCTGTTGCTCTGCTGCTATTGTTGTTGCGGCTAATGTTAGTTGTTGTTGTAATTGCTGCTCCTGCTGATTCTGTTGTTGCAGATATTGTTGCTACTTCCGTTGCTGTTTATGGTACCGCTGGAACTGTTGATACTGTTGCTCCTGCTGATGCTGCTGTTGCAGTTATTGTTGCTGTTGATGATACTGCTGGAACTATTGGTATTGCTGCTGCTGCAGATGTTGTTATCTATAATGCTGCTACTGTTGTTGCTACTTCTGCTGCTGTTGATACTGCTGCTGCTGCTGTTCCTACTCCCGGATAACAGCTGGTACAAAATACCAAAAACTGTGAAATAA